GAGGTGCTGCTCGGCCATCAGGGACTTGACAAGCATGTCGTCGATGTACACTTCCATGGTGTTCCCGAGGTGTTCGACAAACATTTTGTTGACTAGCCGCTGATAGGTAGCCCCGGCGTTCTTGAGACCAAATGGCATCACCTTATAGCAGTAGGTCCCTCTCTTTGTGATGAAGGCTGTTTTCTCCTAGTCATCCAGATGCATCAAAATCTGGTTGTACCTTAAGAAGGCATCCATGAAACTTAGGAGCTCGTGGCCTGCTGTTGCATTAACCATCATGTCGATATGTGGGAACGGGTAGGAGTCCTTAGGGCATGCTTTGTTTAAATCCGTGAAGTCAATGCAAACCCTCCACTTTCCATTCTTTTTCTTTACGACCACAACATTTGCCAGCCAGTCGGGGTAATGGACCTGTCTGAGCAGACCATTATTCAGTAACTTATCAATCTCCTCATTGACAATCTGATTGCACTCTGGTGCGAATTTCCTATGCCTCTGTTTCATTGGGGGATCATCCGGATCTACTTTGAGATGGTGGACGATTGCCTCTAGGCTGACTCCTATCATGTCAGCGTGGGACCAAGCGAACAGTCCTGGTTTCGTTTGAGGAATTCTATGAGTCTCTCTCTTATCTCGGGCACGAGTTCTTTCGAGGTCGTCCGGGTGTATCTACACTTCATCCAACTCTTCCATAGATGGTTGATCTGGCTCGATTGGAGGGGTTGAATGAGACCGTAGTTGCTATGAAGTATGACCTTTGCCTTTGAAGGTGTTTTTGTAGCAATCTTTGGAAGCCTTAGGATCGCCCTTGATTTTCGTTACTCCCCATTTTGTTGGAAACCTTATAGTTTGATGGAAGATAGATAGAACGGCTCGCATGTCATGGATCTAAGGTCAGCCCTAGATGACGTTGTATGGTGAAGGACAATTGATCACTAGAAAAACGGTTTGCTTGTTGACTCTGCTTGCGTAAACAGGCAGAACGATTTCTCTGATAGTGTATTTCTACTCAGAACTGAACCCAACCAGTATGGTTGGTCGTTTACTGATGTTTGCTTCTTCTAGACCCATGGCCTTCACTACTTCAAGGAAGAGAATGTTCGCCGAGGATCCCCAATCTATGAATACTTTCTTGACTAGGATGTTAGCAATCTGGAGGGAGATGACTAAAGCATCGTGATGAGGGGCAGCCAGGGTGACTAGCTCGTCATCTTCAAACTGAATTACCTAGTGGGTGTGTGACCGAGAGGACGGATGGATGGATTGGATTTCATGGTGATGGTTGGCTCTAGCGTAGCGCTTGGTTGAGGAATAACTGACCCCACTGATCTCCGACCCTCTTGAGATAAGTGAGCAGAATCCTTTTGGTGTAGGTTCTCGTGGAGATGGAGATGTTTCTTTTGAGCTTCTCTGGTTCACTGTATTCTTCCCTTTATCCATCAATAGATCTCGGAGAAGTCCCCTCTTCAGTAGTGTTGCGACTTCCAACCATAGGGTGATGCAATCCGCCATGTTATGTCTATGGTCATTGTGGAATTCGCACCACTTGGTTTTGTCCCTGCTCACCTTGGGATGGAGCTTGTTCGGCCACTTGACTATAGGTCCCATCCCCTTCATGATTGCCACTACCTAGACTGGTTCGACGTTAAGGTTGTACTCTGGAATTTTGTATTGGCTCGATCCGGTTGGTCTGTTGTCAGCTCTAAGTGGCTGGCGATCATATGGTTTTTTTACTTTGTTCAGATTGCGTAGAGGGGGTTGGTAACGGGGTTCAATCGGTATGAGCTTTGACCTCCTATCATTTCGCCTTGGGTTGTACCTGGCATGACTCGCCCGATTCATCTCATCTTCCTCCCAGCTTATTTGAATCATAGCTCTGGCCAATGCATCTTCCATCGTGGTGCAACCGAGCTTCGTCAAGTCTTTGTATAGTTCTCCATCCGGGAGAAGACCCCTTTTCTAAAGGCGTCTACGGCTGTCTCGGGGTTATAGGAGGGAATGGAGATTTTTTCTCTGTTGAATCTGCTAACGTACTCTCTTAGTGGCTCCCCCCTCTTCTGGTAGACTCTGTACAGGTCGGCCGCTAGTTTCTCAAGTTTCTTGCTGCTAGCGAATTATTCAACGAAGGTGTCAGTGAGCTAGGCGAATAAGTTTATTGAACTGTTCGGAAGGTTGGTGTACCACTGAAGAGCTGGACTGGAGAGGCTTGAACCAAAGCTCTTACACATGCAGGTTTCCATCAGCGTTTAGGGTATCGAGATGGTAAACAGCTACTGCTTATATGAGGCTATGTGATCATTTGGGTCAGTTGTGCTATCGTAAGACATCATGCTAAGGATAGTGAATTTGTGGGGCATGTTGGCTAGCGCGATTGCATCCATGAAGGGCGAATCGGCATAGCAGTAAGGATTGCTCTTTTTGGTAGGGATTGGCACTCCTGGTATGCGCCTCATCATTGCCTCTATGTCGACCAGTCTCTTGGCCAATATCTGCTCCATGGGAGAGGCAGATACAACTAGGTCATCCTGATTGACTCGATTGGCCAAAGGATTCGCACTCGGTGCATTCTGTTGGTCAATCCGTGTGGTGTAGCTTGGTAGATCATTCCGTCATGTATCGTTTGGTAGCCTAGATCCCCATTCATTCCCTCCGGTTGGGTGACTCCCATTGTAACTGATCGGGTGTTTCGCCCTACATGGATGGTTAAGGGGGCTATTTGGAACTCGCTCAATCCGTTGGGATGGATGGACTCGAGTGGGATGGTTTGAAGTGGGTGACCGCTCAACCCGCGAGGATGAGCTGAGTCGAGTGGAGTTTGGGTAGGGACAGTTGACCGAAGGTGAGGTGGTATGGCGAGGATGAGTGGTTCTTGTTGTAGCAAGCTTTTTGTCACTTGGACGCCTTGATCTCATGCCTGAAGCGGATCTACCGAGAGGGGTTTTATTGGTAGCCCCCGTTCACCATAAGTCAGGGCTGAATGGTCGACCAATGATGAACATAGTTGGCGCGACCTCTTATATGAGGTCGTGGGTCTATGCTCTGGAGTTTGGAGAGGTTGCATAGAGGGAACTGTGGCGCGAAACCGGCTGGGTTGTACTTGACAAGGCAGAAACTCAAGATCATAAAACCGACTTACCTTCTCTTTTAGAGACTGGTTTTCGGCCCTAATGGAGGCGTTTTTAGTCCGGATGGTAGTGTTCTCAGCTTCCAGTACGGCCACCTTGTCTGAGTGTTATTGCATGAGGGCGGTTAGCACCTCTAGTTTGGGCTTGAGGCCAAGGTTAGTGTTATCAGAATTGTCAACCATCGAGAGTTTCTTTACGTAGTAGGGTTTGTGAAACGAAACGATTGCCAGAGGCCCCATAGTGGGCGCCAAATTGTAGACATAAAAATCTACCTGTACGGAAAGAGGTACTGATCCCGTGAGGTTGAGGCCACTAGCGATCTACTGCACCTACACACATAAGGAAACAAGCGTGAAGCAGACAAAAAACACCAGGGTGGTGTTTGCCGTAGGCACTCCGACGCTCAAGTTAGCAAGGCTGAGTAAGGCTAGTGTAGTGAGGGTTAGAGAGAAGAAAGGTTACCGAAAGTCTAGTCGGGGACTATGACTATGGCTGTAATGCAAAGTTCTCAAGAGTGAGAACTTCAGAGTTTGAAGGTGTAATGTCTCTGTCCTTTGTGAGAGTTCTAACCTTTACTTAAACAGTGACTGTATGGTCCTCGAATCTTGGTGGGACTAGGAGTCCTTGTAGCAGTGGTCTCCTCAAAGAGTGGAGCCTTTGGCTCCCTTATCTCAGTAGGAAAGGGAGTCCTAGTATGCCTAGGATACGGACCTTAGACGAATTGGGATAGCCATTGACTCCCTTAGTAGAGTTCAAGTAGTACTGTCGTTCGTAGGCAACTGTGGACTCCGAGTTGATCGTAAGCCCAGAAGGCGTTCTAAGATCAGGAGGCCTGGGTCCAGATAGTGAGGAGCTGAGAAAACATATCGAACGGGCCTCATCTACAGAACTCTGATTTGGGCCCCATCGGAATTGGGCCTGAGCTTTCATCTTTGTTGGAGGTGTCTCCGTCTTTGGGCCTATTTGGGCCGAGCACCTTTTTTGGCCCTAACAAAGGTTAAGTGAAAATTTAATTTTGAAAAGCGATTAAAACACGTCTCGTAATTGCACTGCTCGTGATATTGGTCCAGTAATTGTCATAAAATTTTAAGTTAATTTGTAATTATGGTGATTTAAAATTTAAAAAAAAAATTAAATACACATATAGGTATATTAAGACATCAAATACAGAAAAAAAAATTAATATTATTAGAGTAATTAGAAAAAAAATCCAAACTTTTAAGGATAATTTGAGCTTATAATTGGAATGATGAATAATTTTACTATATATACGCATGGTCATTATTGGCAGCATAAATTATATAATTAAATTATTTTAGAGAAAAATTAAACAAAGAGGAATAAATATCTTCTACAAGAACTACCCTTGAGTGGTTGAATAGTGAATTTTAGGGTATTACCTAAGAGATCCTGAGTTCGATTCACCTCGATTACTAATAAGGGTGATCATTAGAGGTTTATCTGGCCGTTGACTTTAAGATCCCGAGGATTAGTTGAGGTGCATGTCAGCTAGCCCGGACACCTCGGTTACCAAAAAAAAATAATAATAAATATCCTCTACATTAATAGATAAATTTAGAATAAATTAGAATATGAAGGCAAGAAAAAGAATTAGATATCTTTCATTAATAAGGACATTAAATAATGGATTCACCCTAATCATATCTATCCTAGAATTAGATATCTTTCATTACACTCTCCAGATTCTGAAGAACCCAAACCCACCTGTATTTTCTCTTTATTCAGCAATACAAATTCAATTTCTACCTTCTCCTTTCCCTATATATAATCTTCATCTTCTTCTCTCATGACAAACCAGCCATAGCTTGCAATAACTAGCCAAAGAAGAAAAAAATATTATATAATATAGCAAAAATGGCGAGCCACCCTGGTGCCATGATCTCCAATTTTTCGAGTGTCCCTTATGTCTCAGCAAATTTACCGAGTGATATTATTAATGATATTTTTGCTAGACTTCCTGTGAAGTCTCTTGCTCGATTCATGTGTGTGTCCAAATCCATGTATGCGTTGCTTCACAATCAGAAATTCATTAAGAAGCATCTTGAAAGAGCAATACGGATAGACCCGAATCTCATCCTGAGAACAGACTTCAAGCTTTTTGCTGTTGATAATGAAGGATGGAGCAAAGCTCGAAAACTTCAAGTACCCTTTTCTTTATCTCTTGATAAAGTTGAGATTTCGGGTTCATACCATGGCCTGCTTTGCATTTCTGATCAGAGATGCAATGAAGATATTTATCTCTTTAACCCTTCTACCGGAGTTTACAGGAAGCTTCCGCCTCCGGAGTTCGATGTCCCCACCATTGAAAGTACTTGTTTTACTTCGTTGGGATTCGGTTTCCATCGAGCAGAGAATGATTACAAGGTAATAAGATCTATTTTCCTTTATGATAAGCCTTTTGAAAACATTGATTCTTATCAATGTGAAGCTAGGATTTACTCTTTAAGCACTGATAAGTGGAAGAAAATTGGAGCTGTTCCATTCCATATCAGCACTCGAGCTGCAGTTTGTTTTGATGATCAAATTTTTATTTGGAAAGCGTCTCGAGGGTTTGGAAGAAGAATGAGTATTCTGGTGGTTGCTTTTGACATGGACAAAGAAGAGTTCAAAGAGGTTCCAAAACCTGAGCTCAGAGATCCTGCGAGCTGTCAGATTGAAGTCGGGGTGATGAAAGAGTACTTTTCGATGTTTCATATGTGGAGAGGTGAGCGTGTTGAGATTTGGGCAATGAAGGAGTTCGGCGTGAAGGAGTCGTGGACAAAGATGTTTGTGATCGGACCCCAGATGATGATAGATCCCTGTTACATATTTTTGAGGCCTCTGTGTATGAAGAAGAATGGCGAAATTCTGATAGAGAAGGGCGAGGGGAAGTTGGTTATGTATGCACCTGAAGATGAAATTGTGAATGAGTTTACTGCCATTCGAAGAGCTCCGAGATGGTTTTCTCTGTATACTTATGTGGGGAGCTTGGTTTCACCCTTCACCAACGGGGCGGAAAGTGCTTGAAGAAGAAAATGAAAGAAGAGATGAGGAGACTAGCAGAATTTAAATGAAATTATATTTTGAGTGTGCTTTTATGTTTTGAATTTAAATTTGTCCAACATAGCTAGATTGTGATATTTCGAGAATAAGTTCAGAAGTTCTACTCAGGCCCATTTATCACTCTACACATGTTTACCCTCAAATTTTAAGCTAGTTGCCAAAAAACAATAGATTCTAACTAAACAAATTACCTGTTAATCACAGCAACAAATTACATGTTCTCTAAAATAATCTTTAAAAGGAAAAACCATTCAAAAATTCGTGCAAAACAATTATAAGAATGGTTTCAAAAGTTAATGTGCAAAAATATCCCGTGAGTTTTTACAGGCAATCCCCTCTTTTGTTGTTTGCTTCAGAGTTCAGACCACGAATTTATTTATTTTTTTATTTTTTTGTGACTAGAGGTTTACGCGCCAATTTACGTGCATTTTAACTAATCTTGTGAGGACTTAAAGTTAACGGCCGAGTAAATTCCCTTAATGACCACCCATATTAGCAACTCAGATAGATCGAACTCAAGATTTTTTTAATAATATACTCAAGAGTCTTAATTGATCATTAGACTATCCAATAGTGGTTCAGACCAAGAAATTTGACGAATGTTCTTTCCAATAGATTGATATTTTTTTTTTTTTTTTTTTTTTTTGGGACATTACTTTCCGACCCGACAACTAAAAATGTGAATTTGTTCACTGGTAAAGGTATAATTAACATCTTAATATCCCACCACATTATGATGCACGTGAACAATGAAACATTTTACCTAATAATAGTCTTACAAATCTCCGACAATGGTCACTATTCCAGCTTCTGTTGTATATTGCATTATCTCTGAGTTTGATAAATAGCCCCCAAATTTCAACAATCGCTTGAACTATCAAAGGATCAACCACCTTTTTAATTTTATTCAATACAATCTAAGAAGGAATCTGAATTCCTGAACTCTTCCTCTAGTCCAGATAAAAATAAAGTAAATACTCTGCAAGAATTTTTGCCATAAATGATGCCCCTTTATCGCAGGGAAAGTTCCAGAGTTCATCTGTGAATGCAGATGGAATTTTGACTTTTGAAGTGCAGGAAAAATTCAAGGTTCAAAGGTCGGAACTTCAGATGTAAAGCCATGTGTGGCCTGGTAAATTAGCCGAGGCAATAAATTCCGGTAAGGATCACTTTCTCTCTTCTCCTTCAAGTAAGAAATGCATTTCTCAACCTCAGACTTCACTTCCAAATACAACTCATGACATTTCTTCCTGTCTCTTAATTCTTGTTTCCTCCCTTCAAAGCAACATTAATGATACAAGTCAATACATGGTAAGGGTCAAAGTTGCGGAAAATCAAAATTCTATTAACTTATTATTGCCTTACGGAACAAATTAAATTGAACTCTTTAGAAGTTTAAACCCATTAGATGGAATTCTTTGCTAATTTAGTCTATATACTGACCAGCAACACTGGACTGAACAATATTAGTTGATTTCTTACAGTTTGACTCAAAATCTTGGTCGTTTGTAGCCACCAAAAGTGAATAGGGCAGCTCATGAGTTCATGATTATCAGTTGGGCTTTTCAACTAGAGGGTATTGATTTCTATCCCTATCAGTTGCATCATATAATTCCTGGATTTAATTTTTCTGTGGCCCAATAACATGTATATATATTGGTTTTTGACTAACTAGATAGTGGTCAAATAGGTAAGCTAATAGATTTAAAAAACATGGACTGTCTAATTACCATACCTGCTGTTTCAATTGGTTTTCCAAAGTAATAATAAAACCGGCCTGGAACTTTAGGTAGAATTCCTGGAAGATGAACATCTTGGTTTGCTACCTCACCACTCGCATCAGTCCTATTACCAACACATCACGACAAATTCAAAAAGAGGCAATGCAGGAAGGCATAGACATTAAGAAAAAAAAATGAAAGGACACATGAAGAGAGAGATTCAATTTTAGTTGAGATGAAAAAACTCAGATTACCTCAAGTGTACAGCCTCACTAGTCAGTTCATTTATTTCATTCCTAAAGTAAGGAATCTTCATAAGGTCATCATAATCAAAAACTACCTGAAAACAACGAATATGCATTTTTATTATTCCTTAGAGAACAGAGATCATATCAGAAATAACAATCTCTAAATAAGTTAGCACATGTAATGCCTAAAGTAAATATGACATGCAATAGATTAATAAAACTCGAAACTTCAAAATATCTACAGTAGAAAAGGAAACTTTTGTGGACAGCTTGTTCACTCTCTTGTAATTTCTACAAGTAATGAAATTATTTTAGTTTCTTCTCAAAATAGAAAGGAAACATTTTCCGTAAAACAACAGACACGTCAAACACTACTCAAGACAACATCCAAGTCCCAGTTTTGTTGGCACCAGTTAGGACATTTATGATATCACTAACCTACATTTACAAGAAGAAAATATATATGTATGTGGAGAGACATTGTAATATGCATCTAATTGGCACATAATACTTATCAGAATATTATTCCTTTCTCCTTAACAGAAATGTATTCATTTCTTAATCTTGCTCATTTTCCTATCACACAAGATAAGCACAAAATTTCAGATGTGGACAGTCAACAATAAGCAGGAAGGATAGAAGCACAACCAATTCAGTGAGTACCACTTCACCATATACCAATTAAATTAAATCAGGCAATAAACTTCAGAGCACCATATATGCAAGTACATGACAGAAATAACAGTTGTTAAGGTAGACAATAATCAGAGAAAGGAAAATTGGGTTTCAGGCTTACTTGACCAATATCATCTTCTCCAACAGCACCAAAAGGTACGATTTTGGCCCCAAACCTAGCTGCCATCCTGACAAACTCTGACTGTTCTGGCCAAAATAACTTGTATTCTTCTCCCTGCAAATATGATAGGTTGAGTATACCAAAATGGTAGTAATAACTTGAAATTAAAGAATCTAGTGCTTGACCATGAGGAAGACAAGTATACCAAAGAAATAAACAGGAAAACAAAATTTGTGTTTGAAGCCACAGAGTGTACAAAAACACCAACAAGAGTTGGTCAAACAAAATGTGCACGCACTTTTACACCGATTCAGGCTTAAAGAAGAGTGAGAGACAAAAGTGGAAATAGTCAATGTTGCATCATCTAACTAGATGTATCTTATTAGAATGTTCCATTCATATTAGAAAGAATACAGGCTATCCACCTATTCATTATCTTCTCCTCTTTCAGATTTTTGTGGCATGCAGGAAACCAGAAAATGAGATTTTTATACTAGAGAAAAATTGTGAAGTTCTGAATAAAATGAAACATCGAAGTAATAGATACAATAAGAACTGCAGATCAAGGTAACAATGTAACAATAAAGAGATCTAACCTTCCTATGAAGAGCCTCACGCATGCCTCCAGGATAAAGTAGGACATGAGACTTCGAAGATAGAAGTTTGAAGAAATTGGTTCCTGAGACAGGAACTGCGCCCATTATTCTAATCTTGTCATATTGGGACAACTCAGGTAACTTTCCATCTTTCAATTTCTTAAACATCATTGGATGTGCTATTCCTCGCAGAACAATATTTCTTTCAATCATAAATTGTGAAACCAGGGGAGTCAATTCAAGTCCTAGTAACATGTGATAGCCAACGAATAAGACTGGTCCCTCAGAAGGAATCCCAGCAAGGCCTTTCACAATCTTCCCATCCTCTAAAGTTGAGAGCATCACAGGTGCAGTAGCAACATATATCCACCTATAGATAATAAAATTTAAAAAAAAATGAAAGTAATTGCAACTCAATCAGATGGCTAAATATCAGTGAAAAACCATCGTCCAGATTACGATTGGCTAATGTGTTTGACACATCAAGGATTGAATTATTATTTGGTATTTGATAGGACTGGGATTCAATTAGATAGGACTGTTCATAAACACTATTGTCTTTTGTTTGAGCAACAAGGGTTAGATGAGCTTGTACATAATGGATATATTCAAATTCTACTGTGAAACTAATTAAACCAATTTAATACTTTAAGATATAATTTAGGTTAATTTTTAAGGTTTTATTATTATTTGCATACTAATAGACAATTGATACATATTTCACCGTCTTATTTTTGTTCTGTACACCAAACGCACGATTAAGCGGGGAAAAATTATATTTTCACCATCCCATTACACTTCTTCTATGATGATTTTTAATTCATCGAAAGAATGGTACAGTCAGGAACTTTCAGCAAATCCTTAACTGATATATTTCAAATAGATGAGTTTCTTTTACATCATTTTCACACTGATTGGATAAGTATAATTTATTTCTTTTGCTATAGCATAAGTTCTCTTGAAAGTTAATAATTACCTGTCTGATTCGAATGTCTTTTTGAATTCAGAAGGGGTTGGTGGTATAAAATCTGAAATATAGTCAAGGTACTTTCCACAGCGATAGAAACCAGCCCCTTTGATGACAGTTACCAAGTCAAAATCATCTTCCTGCCACACATAAGATGAACTATTATATGCATCAAAATTCAAATTTGCAGGACGACTTTTTAAGTGAAATTATGCAACAAAGCTGCAAAGACAGGCATCAGCTTCAACAAAAATGCCAATACACTTTACTATGGAAGAAAAAGAAGCAAAATGGTTTCTGATGCCTGATTATAGCTTCTCTGATCACTCACATGGAAGATGATGCAGGCACATACACGCAAGCAAAACAGAAAGTAATAGAATTTTACCAGGAAAAGAGCATGACGACTGTCATTGAACCTACGAATCTGACAATGTGATAGTGCAAGACGAAGTCTTTCACCTTCCTCTCGACTTGGCAAAAGCTGATCTCTCCCACTGTAAGGAAGACAAACAGTGACTTCTATACATTGTTCCGGAAGAATCATAGACATAAACTGAAGAAGTGCTTAAACTGATAGCATAAAAATATGGAATGTATGCGCGATTATAGAAGTTTAAACTGCTGAAATTAAAAGACCATGCCAAAGATAAGGACCTGGAGAGTATCAGTGTTTGAGCTTTCACAGCATGCAGGCGGGAATTGGCATATGCAGATGCTGATTTTAGCATTTCTAGCTTCCAACGGAGAGTTTCTTTAGGCATCATATCATTAATAACCTGCAACCTAAGTTATCAATTCTTTTCATGCAATACCAGATATAATGAGAAAAATATATTGGCAACCTCAACCTGAAAGAATAGACACTCCATGGAAAGCAAATGTCTCTGTAAGAATTCCAACAGACTTCCAGCATGCTCTTTATTTTTTCTTTTTGATATATAATATGTCGTAATATCATAAAACGTTGAAATATAGAGCCATACATTGTGATGAGACATATGGATACAAAACATCATAAAACTACTTGTATCATAGTCTTTAGCATATTAACAGAAAATTGTTTCTCAAAGTCCTAAGATAACATGTTGCTAATTTTTTAATGCCTACGGTAATATATTATTAACAGTTAACTAATTTATATTCATTCTAGGTTTGGATCTTACAGGGAGGTAAGATGATACTGTAAAAGGATCCCGTGACTGATCTCCAATTTTTGTTTGCAAAGGAAGTCCCTTTATCAGATTATCCACAGCCATCCTCAAAGGGTCACCTATATGCATATATTATAATAGCTGGTATCACTTCAAAGACAAGATTACAAGGGTAATAAACATGCGACAAACTTATGTGTCACTGGGCCATTAATGTTCACCAGAACTAAGAATAATGAAAAGAAATACGCTGGCATCATTTCCTGGAAGCAGTAAGAAGAAATAAACATTCTTTCTACACATTTAAGTTAAAGAGAGAAGCTCCAGAAAAATTGAAGCCCTGCCCCCAACTCTGCGCCCCAGGTCATTAAAGAAGTGACCGGGAAGAACAAAGCTGATAGATATCTCTCATCATAATATTGAAGCATGAATATGGAAAAGCATCATAGGTATCTAAAAAATGCATTGACAACTCAAAAGTATATCATGGAATCCTATCTCCTAATTTGAAAAAACAAATAATTTTTTTTTTTTTTAAAAATAGAAAATCTTTGCCAATGTATATCAATCTACCGGAAATATGTTGCTAAAGTCAATTGTCAATGGCTATCACGTTGCGCAGCTTGCTTCAAATTGAACACCTATTTAAGTAATATTATCTCTAAAATGATTACTTGACAATATATGTCTGAGTGAAAACAATATGTAGCTAAAGTAACGAAGACATAAGACAGAAATTTGAGCAGAAGAGCAAACCTTCCATTAAAGACAGCACTGACAGAAGAATAAGAGGGACTTGATGTGGCATAAGCTCCAATAAAGGTATTAACGGTTGGAACTGGGACTTGCTAAAAGATGTAGCTGTAAAAGAACATCAATTAGATACCATGCAAGTAAGAAAAGGTATTCATGAACTGAATGCCATCCACGATGAAGCGAGTGTACTTGCATGCTAAAGTGACATAGATTTTTTTCCCAATATCTCAAGGAGAGCTCTATTTAGAACAGTACTTAGGTCCCAGAAGATCATTGCCCATATTTGGCGGTCTCTTGCTTGCATCACTATTTCAAGAGGCATTAAATCACTTTTGCTAAGCTAGACACAACTGTATAAACCAACAAAAAATCAAGGACCAATTCAGCATTGTCATGTTTACCCATCACACAAATTTGGATGGTCATCAACAGAATAGCAGAAAATCAACAATCAGAATACATAATTATGTTCAGGACTGGGTTGAAAGCCTACATCTAGCAAAAATATGGTGAAAGATTCTAGCATTATTAAGGGAGAACACTAGATGATGGTATCTTCTTAAACCATGTTCCCCTACATAACCTCTAATTCGGATCTAGTATGCAAAATTTCATTGAGTCACAACACAAATAACTGAATCCTAACCTGGTCAAACTCAAAAATCAGCATGACCATCATAAGCTCTGCTAATGCAAATGGATGATTAACATTTATTTCTGAAGATTAAAAAACATCTTCAATTTCGAAGTTTTACAATAAATACATACATATACATTGATTAATAAGACTAGAAATATCACTAATCTCTTTAACGTGAAAGTAAAAGCAACTTCTAACCTGGGTTAGCCAAAATTAGTACAAGGTCGATATCAGGATTCCTGGCTGCAACAGCTAGTGCAAGGCATGCTCCAAGAGATTCTCCAACAAGATATATTGGTCTATTTGGCAAAAGATAATTCTCTGATCTGACAGTTCTTTCTACCAGCTTCACTAGGCCTGGACCATAACCAGTTGGGGAGAAATTATTTGAGAAGAATGCAATGAGCAGCTTATTTACAGAGCATATCACTTATACATAACATGTATGAATATAATAAATGAGTGCGTGAGAAAGAAAAAACAAGACCTGTAAATGATGTTCGATCCTTGACAGGAATATGCAAGCACCATATGTCAAAAATCCTTCATTCATAGGAAAATACAAATTAAACAGCTTATATAACAATGCTATAATTGGTCAGTAGACAGCAGATAATCACATAACATAATAATCAAGTTTCTTACAAGTGTTGACAGAATCAAAGATGCTACATAAGATATAACATAATGATCAAGTTTTATGAATTTTAATATATATTTTCGGTTATTTGAAAATGCATTGTAAGTTGGTCCGAGCTAAATAAATACGTTTGGAGATCATGTGTATCCCTTATTTTTCTATTTTTATAATAATACTCCATATTAGAATTACAAACTAATCTAAATATTTTTGCAAGTATTATCCATAGTGATGGTAGAATGCATCTTACTGTCCAAGTCTTTGATGCTGCGTTACAAGTCCAACTCCAACTCCATCCATTCCTACAAATTTCATATTGACTATTAAAGAACTATGAATTTCTTTTTCATGCAAAAAAAAAAATAAAAAAAATAAAACCTACCATACAAAGAATACCAATTATTTGACTAACACATGTAACTTGGTATATAAATTGTGAAAATTTTGGAATAAATAAAATTTATTTAAATTTAATTGCTTTTGGGATTTAAAAGGATAGATGGGACTTAAATAACACAAATAATTTACAATATACAATAAATGAAACAAAAACATTGCTCCTAAAACAAAAGTCGATACAACTATCAATGACTCTACGTCCCAGTTGTGATTGATAAATAACTGATANTTATTTAAATTTAATTGCTTTTGGGATTTAAAAGGATAGATGGGACTTAAATAACACAAATAATTGACAATATACAATAAATGAAACAAAAACATTGCTCCTAAAACAAAAGTCGATACAACTATCAATGACTCTACGTCCCAGTTGTGATTGATAAATAACTGATACCTTCACTCCCTTTTTTTTTAAATTAATAAAGAAAATAATCCAAAAGTTAGTAATAAATATAGAGTATTTCCTATTGTATTTTTTATTTTAAAGAATATTTTTTATATATTTATTTTAAAGAATATATTTTATATAAATAAAGACTATCATTGATTTTTAAATATAAAAAACAAATCTTTTATTCAAATAAACTCTTTTAATTTTAGAAGGGAATATATTTTTTTAAGAAAAAAAAATAATAAAAAAATAAATCATAAATAAAATATATAAAAATTTATTATTTATTATTTAAAATTAAGATAAAGAGTAAAATTTAATTATTAAATCAAACCTGATTTTTAATTTATATTAAAAAAATAAAAACCCACTATTATTTTTATGAATAAATATTTTATAATAAAAAGTTTTGATTATATAAAAATTTTCTGAGGATGCGTTAGAGTCACCCAAAGAGCCTTAAATAAAATAACAGTCACCAAAAAAGCAGTTGACGAACAAAAAGTAAAGATAAGGTAGCAGACAAACCTGACAAATATAGAAGGAGAGGAGAATCAGGAGCGTGGGACCCGCACTCTAATGGAGAGAACCAGCGAGGCGGACCACCGTCTGATCTGATCATATCTTTTGCTTCTTCAAAGTAGTCTTTAAAACTCTTTCTGTTACGTTCCGGTTCATCCTCCACGTTGACTCCGCGAATCCTCTCAACTTCTTCACTACTACTCTTCTTCTCCACAAAGCTGCTGCTCCTCTCCCTCGCCGTTTTCGTTCTCACAGTCGTTGGACTTGGTCTCTGCTCCGTGGACGCAGCTAGACGCTTCAAAATCGGACTCCGCTTTGTTTTGCCGGACGCTGACATCATGTCTCGGCGAAATAGCGGCGATAAATCAGCGGAGAAAAAAAAAGCGCCGGCCATGGCCATGGAGAGCTAAGAAGAAGTTGCAGTCTTTGTCTCGTTTATTTGTTTGTATTTTGTAATAATGGCGGTCTTGAAACAGATTTGTTACAAATGATATAATTAAGTAATAATAAAATAATCTATATTATATTATAATAAATTAAAAACTAGAAAAGCGGAGTAAGAGAGGCATTTTGTAGTAGTTCAGCTTCAGACAGACATGATCTGAGTGGCTGCTGTAAATCTTCAATTTTCCAGGGAGTTACGCTTATGCTTATGCAGAACGATCTCACTTTTGTCTTTACCTTACTTAACGTAAAAACTTTGAAAATTGAAAGATCGCCTTATTAATACACGTTTATTTATATTTCTATTTAACTGTCATTAATACAATAATTAAATTATTTAATATTTATCATCTGAAAAAAGTTAAAATTATTATAATTATTTTCATATAATTTTATCCACATTTTATCTCAGTAGACCCTAATTTTTATTTTCTTCTTATTGAAAATTCCTTATAAGACTCAAAAGTATTTTATATATAATCTACCTAAAATAAATCTTGTGCTATTATTTAAATATTTTATTTTATTTTCTACAGCATAAACCCTATTATTTTATTTTGAAATAATCAAGATGAAAAATAAGTTTGATCAAAAAAATATATGCATTAAATTCTTTGAGTTTATTTTATGATATTTTATTGTTTCCAACTTTTAATTGATTTGCACATTTACAAAATTTATAAGTTTGTTATTCTTTTTTTTTTTTTTTTAAAAGAAAACACATGTAATATGAATACTTTATATATAACAAGTATTGAGAAATTATAACATGAATAGTAAAAACATAAATGTAAAGGTTATTTTGTAAATAAATGTGGTTTATTTAGACATTTAGATGATATATTTAAAAATTTGAATAGAGTAAATTTAGAAATGAGGTTTATTAAGATAAATCATGAGGGGCAAATAGCACCACTCTAATGTAAACATCTTAATCTCACCATGAAATTACTAAAATAACCCTTATTTTGTAATTCAACCCTCTAAAATGCGTCATGTAAGTCAAGTCAGTTTCTCGACATATTAAATCACCATACAAATGAGGACTGGCAACATGTCTTTGTCATATTAACCTATCCTTTGTTGTCTATAAATAACATATCCTACAATATATAGATCTCTCATTTATAATCTAGCACAATCTTTATAATTATATTGTCCATTAGTGCAACAAAAGTATTTATGAATGAATGGTACATTATTATAAGGAAGGAAAAGTGGGTTTGATGATTAACTTTGTTGATGCGTGATTTTTACACTAACGAAATACACGTGTGAAATATTGAGCTGGCCCAAAAGACACATATGAATGTAAAGAAAAACGACAGTAAATGTAATGGGGACAGTTTTTAAAGTGGTTCGGATGCTAAGGTAGCAAGTTCTACGTCCACTGATGCTTATATTGATAATAAGGGTCAGGTCGCTTCAGTTGACTGACTTTACAATGGTAATACAAAGTATCAAATGCTGAAAATTCTAGAGAGAGAGAATCTAATCAAATGTAAAATATGCGAATCCCGTTCAATGAGAGAGGGGCTCTCAATTTATAGAGGAATGGATTGAGGCAATCATCACTGAATCTGCGGGTTGGTGAGATTATCCGTGCAAAATCCTTTTTTATGTCACATTGCCCACCTTCTATAGAGATTTGCATGATTTGGAGCAGGGATTGGATACGTGGGATCATCACAGCTCTTGGCTGGCCTGGCGCGCGCCCACTATTCTGATAGAAGCAGGCTGCAGGCATTCCAATGATCTGACTTTTGCATGCTGACTGGACCTTACGTCAGCCCTTATATTTTTAGGCATAACAGAAATCCCCTGGTTTTTCAGGTTTGAGGATCGAACCTTGGAAACTATAAGTCATGCCGCGATTGGATGATTTCTAGAGATTCTGGAGATTCTGGCGATTCCGGTGATTCCGACCTGTTTGAAAGTAGGTCGGGATGGCACTTTTTGCGAACACGACCTTGCATGATCATTGTTTACAGAGGACGAGCGACCTGATTTCGTCAGACGTCACCTGTTGTGCTTTAGGGATGGACGCATTTAATGAAGCAGTCTCTGCACTGACAGATACGTCCTGCGTGTGATAAATGCCAACCAGGCGCTTTAAATGCGTTGTACGCCGACACAGTATGCTTTATCAAAACATTAAATGAGTGGCATGCTGGAACGACGCCCCGTACCAGAGCATTAAATGCAGATTGAGGTGCAACTAATGCTCTGAGAGAGAGATGGTCGTCGTTCAAGCTTTTCAACAGGAAAGATGAAGGTTTGACTTTCTTTAATTGTGACGCTCACTCTTCCTCACTGATCTACGACACGTGGCTGTGATGAACGGTGAGAAACCTTTGCCGCCCAAATGTCGTTTCGATTCCGAGAAAATCAAACATCAGTTCATGCGCTATAAAAACTCAAATCTTTCTCAGGCAATGTCGCCAGAGTCTTTTTCACAGAGAGTAAAAGATTTTCGCAAGCCTGGAACCTTTGTCTTCCAAACCGGCGTTTTTCCCATATTCGAAGCAGAAACCATTTCGTACTCCGAGAGGTAAGAACCTTTCTCTGTTTTTTGTTTTCTTATTTTCCATGGTTAAATGGCGTCAGTCCTCCGGTAACCCATCGGAGACGAGGCGCTCATGTTAGGTTCGAGTCATGAATGGCGGCTCGAACTAAGTTGTTAGGGTTTTCTTTGGGATTTAGGGTGTTTGTTTCCCTCCACGTCATCGTATAAAATAGCGTACGGCAGCTAAATGACCCTCACGCTTGTCGCTTTTGCAGACTGGCAGAATGGACCCCTCAACAACCAAATCCGAACAGGGAACCGGTTCATCCCTGCAGGGTGCTGCGAGTATCCCCCCCGAGGTCTTCTCGGTACTTACCAGGGATGAGCTCGAGAGGGTAATAAAACAATACGGTATCGAGGTGGACGCTTTCCTCGACGTGGCACACTCATCGTGCTACCCGTTAAGTGATCTAGCCGTGATCTCCGAGGAGATCATAAAGGGCGGGGGATTGATCCCCCTACACCCTTTTATCAGGTCGCTTTTGGACCACTTCGGGATAGCACCGATACAGCTCACTCCGAACGCGTATGTGATTGTTGTCGCAATGTACATCGCATGTCGCGAGAATGGGCTAGGCGAACTGACGGTTGTGGAGCTCGGCTGCTCGTATTTTTTGAAAAAGAGCAAGGACAAGGATTCTTATTACTTGTCCAGATGACCTACCATAGTCGATGGGATACAAAACTACCCTAGCAACGCAGAGGCCTACGAAACAAAGTTTTTTTTCTTTCGTTACAATGGCCATTGCCGCTTTCAGGAACCGAGTAGGTTCTTTTCCCTTGGCGAACTCATTAAATTTGGAATACGTTTTCTTTCGAACGACTTGATTCCTTTCTAACAATTAACAAGACGACCGACTTAGGGCTGCTCTTCGATCTGACTAGGTCGTGAATTTCAGCTTCCTGCCCGAGGACAAACGCGACGCGAAGAAGCTCGTGACGACCGCGAATCTGCGAAAATACGATTTCTTCAACGCAAACGCGTCTCTAGAGTTCCCATTAAGTAAGTCTTGCTAACTGGTCCTTCTCTAGTAGTGAAATGAAACACTTTGCTAACGATGCTTTGCATGCAGCGACCATGCCTCCGAAGGAGTCAGAGCAGCCGCGACGAAGGCCGCTCAATTTTCCTCGGTCAAGAAAAGCCAAGGCGACCAATGCTGCTCTGACCGTTCCCCTGGCTGAAGGTGCAACATCGGGCCCATCGACGCGACCTGCTGGAACTTCTCAACCCCAACCATTAGAGGACTCACCCATCCGAACCACGAAGGCCTCCCAGCCGTCGCCTGTTCTCCCGAGGCGAAAGACAACAGCTTAGTGAAAGAAGAGGAGGCAGATTCAGGCCGAAGAGTCGGAGACCGAATCTGAGGGCGATCAACCTAAGAGGTCATGGCTGGACATGAGGAGGTCGGGTAAGGAACCGATGGACGACACGACCACTGCCGAAGGTGCGGAGAAGGATACTCATGTGCTGGACTCGCTAAGGAATCTGCCGGAGTACCTGCAGCCGATAGTCTACACCTTACTGGAATGCGGACTCTCTGAATCATTTGAGCAGTTCACAGATTCCAATGACGTGGACCTAATGTCCACATCAGTCCAACATTTAAGCAAGGTGAACGAACTGTCCTCGGTAAGGACTACCCTTAGCTCTTTTTGATTAGCTAACTCTTTCTTTGTTCGCAGGCCCTACTTTCCATGCAAATGTCATTGGAGAAGGTACGAGTGGGAGCCTCAAAGGGGGAGGTCGCTCTGAAGGAAGAGAACACAACACTCAAGCAAAGCCTGGAAGCCACCGAAACAGAGAGAAACCTGTCTTCTGAGTCGGTGAACCGGTACCTGAATGAAAGAGACACGGCTCTTCGAACGGTAGACTTCTAAAAAGCGGAGCTCGAGCGGCATGCGAAGGAAACAAAAGAGCTTCAAAGGACCATAGTCAGGCTCTCCAAGGAGGTCGGAGAGAAGGACCAGGAGCTAAAAGCGACCTGTTTGCGAGCTTTGCGAACAGAACAAGAGAGGGATGCCTCCGAGAAGTAAAGGCAAGCTCTTGAGGCTGAACTTTAGGCAAGTTAGGGAAAAGTTGCTTCCCTGACCGAAGAGATACAGAATCAGGCAGCAGAGGTCGAGAAGAAGGCTGCCAATTGAGCAATCTAGTCTATCTATGCCTTGCGACCGAAGAATCTGCGACTTGATATGTCCGACCTTCCAGAGGATTGGCAGGATACCCTCATGTCCATGGCACAGGAGGATGACGAAACAGCGGCCGCTCGAGCATCTGATCAGACAGGAGGTTCGAGACATGCCTTGGAGAAACCCTCAGCTGACCAGCCCTAGGACGTTGAGGTCGATCATCTAGGAGCCAGATTAGGGCGTATAATCGTGCCATTTTGCCTGCTGTACTCTCCTCATTAATGAAATACATTTTTGCTTTT